ACACAATTTCCATGAACTGCATATTGATTCATTATTTAAATAGTCCTGTTCCTTGAGTGGTGTGGTCTGAATGTTTGTGTCTGCCAAAAATTCATAAGCTGAAACCTAAGCCCCCAGTTGATGGTACTGAGAGGAGGGCCTTTGAGAAGTGACAGAGCCCTCATGCGTGGGATTAGCATCTTCGTTAAAGAGGCCAGAAGGGGCTCCTTTGCCTCTTCAAACATGTGAAGATGCAGCAAAGAAGGTGCTAAGCAAAGAAGGGGCCCTTACCAGACTCCAAATCTGTCTTGATCTTGGACTTCCCAGTCTCCAGAACTGTGAGAAATAAATTCCTGTTGTTTACAAACTACCTAGTCTATGATAATTTGTAATAGCAGCCCAAATGTACTATGACATTGAGAAACAATTTTTTTTTTTAAAGAGAGAACTTATGTTAACATTATACCAAATTACCCAGTTTTGGGTACAATAGCCAAATGCCGACTTTGGGAGTGCTCCTAAGCATGCTTCTATAATCACTTCTGTTGCGTGGCATTGCCCTTTAGTTTAACACAATAAGATGGCATTTCCAGGTTTGTGGACAGGTTCAAAAACCTTACCTGATCCTGTATGCTTTTGTAAAACTCGACTCTCTTGACTAAATGAAATGTGTTATTCACATGAGAAAGTCTACTGTGATGAGTTAGTCTCCTTACCTTTAGTCCTGGCCTGTAATAACCACTGTGGTTTCCATGCGTAAAGAAATGTGACTGTTTAGTTTTGAAAGTGCATAGATTTCAGTGGAAGCAGGACACCTTGTTCCCACAGAGCCATCTTGTGCAACACAAGACTAAATCCTGACTCTCTGTTTGTGAGTTCAGTAAACATCTTATCAGCTCACCTTGGGGTGTTGAGACCAATTACCCCTATTAACAAGTAATTGACCTTACAAGACCCTAATTAATAAATTATAATAAAAAGTAATTTATAAGTTCTTTTTTTTTTTTTGCTCCCACACAGGTGTTGTTCCCAAGACAACTTCCTAATAAACCTCCTCCATGCAAATCTTCATGTTAGAGTTTGTTTCCAGGGAACCTGAGCTATGAAAGTTGGGGCCAGGAACCATTTTAGGAAGTAGATTTCAAAATGGGATTTTGGAGCTGCATCTTCTGTCAGCTGGCTGTGAATGAGTCTCCATTTAGTGGTGGTGAATGAGGCATTGACAACCCCTGGCATGTGGTTGCAGAGCAATTGTTAAAACTTTGATTGGTGTTGAACTTGGATGAGACGCAGGAGGAAGGGCATGCACTGCTAGTTGCAGTAATTTCAGCTTTTGCGAGGTTCATGTGGTAGTTATATGGACTATGGAATTGTATAGTTCTTGCTAGGGCCCAAGGAGATATTGGAAAAAGATGATGGTGGGATGAGGGTGATTAATTGCCAATTTAGGCCTAAGTGTAAAAGCCAGTGAGCCTATGGCAGCACACAAAAAGGCTCTCATCTCCTGCATTTGGGAGAACCAAAAAAGTGGATGACCTAGGGCCTATTTCTTGCTTGTTAGGGTAGCAGAACACCAGGGAAGGCTCAAGTCTCCACTGTGGCAAGTCTGCTCTGCCAAGGTTAGGATACTCACTGGAAAAAGTGAGATCTTGAGATTTAGCAGAGTGACAATATACTCAAAAATTGTGTATCCTCAGCTTTCTCCCTGAAACCCCTGAGCCTGCAGAGGGCCTACTCCTCCTTGCTATATAGGTTAGCACTCCCTCTTTTTTTTGCAGAAGATTCAGAAGTGTTTGTCTTGGATGACAACTTCTTGCCCTTTCGGGATCTACCCTCACCACCTTCCTGGCCAGTAGACTAATGATTAGGGTCAGGTTACAACATAACCCAGCAGGGGAAGCGCTTTTGTGCTAAGAGAGGAAAGGAACTATACCCCTGAAAAGTTTCAGCACTAAGCTAACATATCAGCAGGAGCCAGGAAAGTATGGCCCCTCTGGGTGCTGAATCATGTGTGTGTGTGTGTGTGTGTGTGTGTGTGTGTGTGTGTGTGTGTGTGAATGTAGGGTGATACAAGGTACATTTATTGACACGGGAGTATTATTCTATGACATGGGATTAAACACCTGGGAAAAACCCAAGAATATGATGCTAACATACAGCTAAAATTGCTCTTAAAGCTTAGACAAAATGATGTCCCACACTAGGTGAAAGAGAGATGCCAGAACTGCCATAGCAGGTGGTGGACAGAGGAATAAAAACACTCAGAGAAGTGAGTGTGCTAGAGCAGAAATACTGTATATAAGACCCCAATAGTGAATTACATTCTATGTGAGCATTTAAAGGACACTCTACTTACCAAAGTGATAAAGAATGCCCTGGTGAGAGGGGCCCTGGTGAGAGGGGCCCTGGCATTGAGAGGCACAGTGGTATCTGTCCTCTGAGGCCAGGGCTGATGGCAGGGGTGCTGTTATAGAGTGGGGCTCTGATGAATGGGATTGGTAGGCCACGTGGCACTTGCCCATCAGAGCAAGGTGAGAGCACTTACTGTAATGCACAGCAAGGTTGGGATGGCAGCCGGTAGGCCAGACCAATAGAAAGCTATGACAATGGTTAATGGAATACAGAGTTGTAGGGGCAAGATAGGTGGCCAACCATGATAGTATTACCTAAAGAAATCAAGAATAGATGGTTAGGATTCTGAGGGCAGCTATCTCAATAGAAAGCCACAGATCCTAGACTTGCTTCATCACCTGAGGTAGTCTTCAGACCTGAAACCCAATGACATAAGGAATGGCTAAGTATTCAAGAAGAAAGACATTCCAACACCAAGACAAATATATATATATATATATATATATATATATATATATATATATATATATATATATATAAATTACACTTCCAGTCATTTGCCAAAGGGACATGTAGTCATTTACTTGGGAAACCATGCATTGAGGAAAAGGCATGAAGAAATACTTTGAGGACTGTTGGACACATGGTCCAAGCTGACATTGATTCCCAGGGCCCTGAAGCATCATCACTGCCCTGTTATTAATGTAGGGCCATATGGGGGCCAAGTTATGACATACTGGCCAGGTTTGGCTCATATTGGGTCCACAGTGTCCACAAACCCATCCGTGGTCATTTTCTTGGTCCCTGAATGTATAGTTGGAATGGATACCTTTGGTAATTGAAAAAAACTACCACATTGGTTCCATGGGTTAGGTAGTAAGAGCTTCCATAATAAGGAGGACCAATTAGAGGCCTCTGTATCTGCCTTACACCTGCTATCCAGGATAATAAATAAATAACAGCACTTTCCAGCAGAATTACAGAGATTAGAGCCACTCTTAAAGCCTGAATTAATGCAGGGCTGGTGGTCTCCATCAGATTCCCAATTGATTCACTATTCTGTCATTTAAAAAAGTCCAAATGACCCTAGAGGTTGATAGTGAGTTTCCACAAACTCAACCAAGTACTCCAATTGCATATGCTGTCTCAGATATGATAACCTTTGCAATTAATATTTCCTCAAGTAATGGTATGTGCCCATTGATTTGGCAAATAATCTCTTTTATGTCCTTATGAAGAAGGAAGGCCAGATGCAGTTTGCATTCACATGGAATGGTCATCAATATACATTCATCATCTTGCCTCAAGACTATTTCCATTCTCCCATTCTCTGTCACAATATAGTCCAAAGGGAACTGCACCATTTGGATATTCTGTAGAACATCACATTGGTCCACAATATTGATATTTTTTTACTTGGATCAGATAAGAAAAATGTGGAAAAAACACTGGAGGCCAGAGAGTGGGAGAAATAATTCAGGGTCTTGCAAATTTAGTGAAATTTTAGGGGCCTCATGATCTGATACATGCCAGGGCATCTACTTTAATAAAGGGGACAATATTGCATCTTTCTCCTTGCATCACTAAGAAGGAAACATAATGTCTGGTAGGTCTTATTGGGTTCTGGAGGTAGTTGATTCCACATTTCAGACTACTGCTTTGATCCATTTGCCAGTGGGCAAAGGGGGCTGCCAGTTCTAAGTGGGATCCAGAGCAGAGGGGGTTATGTAGCAAGTTGAAGATGTCTTTAGGTCATACAATCTAGCACATCTTGTGGTCCTGTGGTGTTAGAGGTAATTGTGTAGTGAGAAAATAGACTATATGGAAAGTTTATGGAAAACCAGACTCATGCCATGCCATCTATACCTGTAGCAGAATATTATACATATTTGCAAAACAGCTCCTGGAATACTACTAGGCCCTGAAAGAGATGGACCACCTAAACATGTGATGTTAAGTGATCATTATGAACTTTGTTATCATACCCACCAAGTCGTAAGACCAGGCAGGCATAGCAGTAACCCATTATAAGATGGAAGTGGTACATCCAAGACTGATCGTGAACATGGTCAGAGAATGAAGATAAGATGCTGAAGCACACACCCAGACCACCATGTCACCTGCCACTGCCTCAGCTTCTCTACCTCTGCCCCTACCTGCATGGGGAGGGTTCCTATGTCTAGTTGACAGGAGAGAGAAAAGTCTGAGCATGCACAGGGTGGCTCATTGTATGGGTGAAAACTGAAAATGGTTTGTGGCTGGACTACAGCCCTATTCATGGGTGTCCCTGAAAGAAAGCAGCAGGAGAAATCCTCCCAGTGGGCAGAACTTTGACAGGTGCATCTGGTAACCACATAGTGTGGAAAGAGATATGACCTGATATAAGAATATATATTTTAATAGATTTATGGATAGTGGAAGATGGTTGGTGGTTTGCCAACAGCTTGGGGGAATATTGGAGACAAGGAAGTTTTAGAAGTAACAGACATGTGAATAGACCTATTGGAGTGGGCGTGAAGTCTGAAGGTCTTTATATAGCTTGTTATTTCCCACCAGAGAGCATGCTTCAAGGAAGAGGCACTGCACAGTATGACTCGAACAGCTGATGTCAGCCAGACTGTCAGTGGTCACCCCATTGTTGGCACAATGAGCTCATAAACAGAGTATCCACAATAACAGGGAGGGAAGCTCTGCATGGGCCCAACAGCATGGGCTCCCATTCACCAATGCTGATCTAGCTACTGCTGCTGCTGAACGTCCAGCCTGCCAACCTGTCCAACCTGAGCTCCTGACACAGCACTATTCTTCAAAACCAACCAGCCACTGTGACACTCTCTACTCTGAAAGGGGACAGCATTCATCCTGATTGGAATTTACATAATTCCAGGTAGGGAATTGCCTTTTGTGATGGCAAGTCCATGGTCACCACCACTATCTGATGCCCTTTAGAGTGTCTTGTTCACTGAAACAAGATACCACATAATATTGATTGAGAAATGGTGCTCACTTATATCAAAAGAGGTGTGTCAGTGGGCATGTGACCATAGGGTCCACTAGTTCTGTCACATTTCACACTATTTAGAATCCATCAGCCTGCCAGGGAAGTGGCACAGCCTTTGGAAGGTATAGCTGAGGTGACAGTTTGGAGTTGGCACCCTGCAGGGATGGAGTACCATCCTCCATGTTGTAATGCATACCCTAAATTAATTTACATAGGCTACGTCCCCAATAGGTCCAATATTTGGGTCTAGGAACCAAGGGTTGGAAGGAAAGGTAGCCTTTCTTATCTTCACTCCCAGTGACTCACTTGGAGGCATTTATGGTTCATGTTTTTGCAACTCTAAGCTCTTCAGTTTGGTTTTAGAGACTCTCAAAGACAGAACACATTCATCAGGAGACACAACAAGAATCCTATGACATTTTAAACTATGGCTTCCCCATGTTCACTTTGGGCTCCTTATGCTAAGAGATGAGCAGGCAAGAAACTGAATCATCTTCCCAGTAGGAGTAGTTGATGCTGGTCATTGGGAGAAGATAGGGCTTCTCTTTTGCAATGAAGGCAGGTAAGAGCCTTTGGCACCCAGATGCCCTAATAGGGGTGTTTTGTGGTTCTCTCTCACACAAATTTGATAGTAAGTGCCCAAGTGTAGCAGCTACAGCCCAAAAAAACCATGTTGCCCTGGGGCTCATATTCTTTACCCCATCTGGTAAACCACCAACCTGGTAGAGGTGCTTGCAGCAAATAAGAGGAGTCTGGAATGGATGGTTGAGAGGGGAGAGAGTGAGCACCAGGTGGACTTCCATGACCATGTCATTGCAGAAGTTCTAATTTTCTCAGTACTGCCCTCCTAAAAGTTTCTCAGGAAAATACAAAAACCAGAAGGAATCCTGTGGGAGTTGTGTCTTGATGGAGTGGATTCACCATACAGAGCAAGTGGTTTTGAGTGGCAAGGTGTGGTCTCCAGTGGCTCTGTGGTATGGACCAGACCCCACAGGAGGACTGAGGTAGTTATCTCCCCAGCCGCCACAAGTGATGGCTGCTGACCACTCAGGGCTGAGCTCCTTTTGGAGAGACACCCTCAGCTGATGAAGTTGCCTCACACAAGTTTACACCCTCTCTCAGTGAGCACCTTGCATTCAATGAATGACCAAGGCTTGGGGACTAGTGTCTGGCCTCCGTTGTTTCACTTTGGGACACCTCTGATGGGCCATTCTGGCTTCAGAGCCTTCTGGGGAATTGGCTGAGGCTGTCATTACTACACTACCATTTAACTCTTCCTTTACCCAGTCTGATTTTCCCGCTTCCTCAATGAAGTTATTCTCCAATTAATGACTTTCATGCAAATCATCCCAAGGTCTGTTTCCTGAGAAACCCCAACTGTAACAAATAAACAATCTCTAAACTATAAAATATAAGGGACACCTACTGCTCCCAATCATTGTGGGTTGGATTTTGTTAATTTTATTTTTTTTTTTATAGTGGGGACCTTTTCTTGACATTGTTGTTGGATTTTAAGTGTACTCTATATGTATTCCAATAGTCCTCTATCCTCTTATTGCATTAATTAGAGACACAGAAATTCTGTAAATTCCCAGCTGCAGAAAAAGTGTCCACTGTAGAAGGCATCTTGGTGTGCATTTGCATTTCTTATGGGCTTACTTGGTGGCCTTGCCAGCTGTTATTTTCAGATGCTTTGAGTTGGCCCATGTTGTCATCGTCCTCTGGATGCTGTTAAGAGAAAAATTTAGTTCGTTATTGTGCGCCTGTGGTACTGGCTGGACACTTCCACACAGATTGTTTTATTTAGCTTTAACAAGATTGGGAACTAGACATAATGTCCAATTAACCGATAAGGAAAACTGACCCTCACAGAGGTTGAAATATCTTATCAATACAACTAGCTAGCAAGTTTTAATAGTCCAGATTCAAAGTTGGATGCTGACTCTAAGTCTAGTATTGCCTTCTCACTCCTCACCTTACCAGGACAGCCTGTCAAATGTGTGGATTGAGATCTGGTGTGTGGACCATGCCTGAGTGACTCTCCACATTAAGCAATCATCTGTAATGAAGTGGAATCTCTTAAAAGCCTTTGAAACACTCTGCGTCCCTTTTCTAACTGGCATGAATTCACTCCAAGTCATGGATGTTGTTTTTCCCCTTTTTGGCGAGCCCCTAAATCCTGGTTGGGGAGTTGCATCACTGTTCTGGCAAAACTTTTCTCTCTCAGATGAGGACGCCCAGTGAAATGCTCATTTATGAGCAGCCATAAATATGTAGCAGAAAAGCTCAGCAAATACTTTGTTTGTTTGTTTCGATAGTTAGTATTACCTGGAAAGTCACCTTGTTTAGCTACAACGTAAATTTGCAGTCCTTGGCTAGGAAAAGGCTTGTTGGAGAAGCCTGATACTGAAAAGTAATCTTCTTCAGGAAATGAGTACCAAAGAGCTGTTATTCTGGGTAATAAGAATGAAACAAAAAGATTCCCAGGAGAGAAGTAGTTTGGCAACCGATGGACGGCAGTCATTATAGACTGAGAGCTCAAATAAAAATACCTTCAAACTCTGAAGAGTGGATTTCTGTATTTTAAATATAGATTCTTACTTTTCAGATGGGACTCTTTCCAAATGACCTTCTGACTTGAAGGGGTAGAGTTAAAGAACAATTGAAGGCACTTGTATAGTGGGAGGAAATGAAATGAGACTAGCCTTGGAAATGGTAGAATACATCTTCGGCTGTTTTATATTTTGAAACAAAAAAATCCCCAGGCATACATGGAAGAATATACAATAGCAAATGTATTGTATCCAACTAATGTTTGGTGGCGAATTATCATTAGTCTCATTGGTTTGGTCTAGAGGGCTCACCAGGACTCAATGAAGCTGGTCCCTTGGAAGATGGTGCAGGGGAGGGAAAACCTGAAAACTCCATGTGATTATTCACTTAAAATATCTTTACACCTATGAATTTTTTAAGGAAAGAAATCACTTTGCCATACAACATCTCATCCACGTAAGTCAATTCATTTGTCTAGTGGAACTAAGCTCAAGAAAGCAGCTGGGGAGACTGCTCTCACCAGGATGGCCGATTCCTTGGCCATTCTTCAAAACACATTAAAAAAAAAAAAGAAGGAGCAAGTGAGTAATTTTGCCATTTGCCCTGAAAGTGTGACTGTTTCATGTGGCTTCTAGGAGAAGAGATGATGGAGAAATAGGCCCCATTAATTCCACACATGGATGTAGGCTTGATGTTCCTAAAGGATTTGAAAATTCTATATGCATTGTTGAAGAATGATTTACTTTAAACAGCATCAAAAACATAAAAACCAAAGCCTTTACCTTTGGTTGCCTCATTCATTACATTTTCCTCAAGCATAACCATCTTAAAAAAGACTCTCCTCAGCCTGATTTCCCCCTTTTCTTTATTTCTATCTAGATTTTTTTTCCCTTTTGGAAAGTTTCATTTTTAAATAAACTGTTTTTATAAACAATTGCCTAAGTTAAAAATCCTTTTCAAATAAACAGGCAGCTTTTGAGTGTGATGAAACATTAAAAAATCAGTTAAGATATACATTCATCGATTCTTTCAACTTGTTAAATTAAAATGGAGACCAGGCCTGAAGAATCCCTGAGTAGACAAAGCGATTAGGCCTCATAATGACCTTAACCTTCCTTGATTCACAAACATAAGCTCAAAGTTAACTTGAGCTTTTTCTTGTAAACGCCTATATTAAATAAAAACAGAGCTTAAGCACAATCAAAAACAGTCAACTAACTTACAATTATATAACTAGGAACTTTGCAATGGGAGAGACCAACTAAGGCAACTATATAACTATAACCAATCAAATATTTTCTTTGCCTTACCTCTGTATTCGTCCTGTAAAATTGTACTCCCCACCCCCTGGGCTGTGGACTGGTATTGGCCCATGGCCTGTCTGGGCCATACAGCAGTAGGTGAGTGGCAGGCGAGCAAGCAAATGAACCTACATCTGAATTTACAGTGGCTCCCCATCACTCACACCACTGCATAAGCTCCGCCTCCATTAGATCAGCAGCATTAGGTTCTCATAGGAGCACAAACCCTACCATAAGCTGCACATGCGAGAGATCTAGATTGCATGCTGCTTATGAAAATCTAATGCCTGATGATCTGAGGTGGAGCTGAGGTGGTGATGTTAGCTCTGCAGAGCAGCTGCAAATACAGATTATCATTAGCAGAGAGGTTTGACTACACAGTAAATGCAATGTGCTTGAATCAGCCCAAACTATCCCCCATTCCGATCCATGGAAAAATTATCTTCCATGAAACTGGTCCCTGGTGCCAAAAAGGTTGGGGACTGCTGCTATAAAAGACTTTTCCTTGCATTCTTTTGGTGGATAGAGCTTCCAACCCACTTCTGGTTTGAAGCTGCCTGATTCAAAAATCTATTTTTTTATATTATTATTTTTTATTTCAGCATATTACAGGGGATACAAATGTTTAGGTTACATATATTACCTTTGCCCCAACCAAGTCTGAGCTTTAAGCATGTCCATCCCCCAGACAGTGCGCGCTACACCCATTAGGTGTGAGTATAACCATCCGCTCCTCCCCCCTCCCACCTGCTCGACACCCTATGAATGTTACTACTGTATGTGCACATAAGTGTTGATTAGTTAATACCAATTTGATGGTGAGTACATATGGTGCTTGTTTTTCTATTCTTGTGATACTTCACTTAGTAGAAGGGGCTCCAGCTCCACCCAGGATCATGCAAGAGGTGCTAGATCACTGTTGATTTTTGTGGCTGAATAGAACTCCATGGTGTGTATGTATATGTATATATATATATATATATATACCACATTTTAATAATCCAATCATGTATTGTTGGGCACTTGGGTTGT